GCGGGCGGGAGGAGGAGCCGCGCCGGGGCCGGCCCAGGGGCTGGGGCGGAGCGGGGAGTGGCGCGGACTGGGGAGCACCGAGCCAGGGATTGGGGTGCACGGAGCTGGGGAGCACCGAAGTGGGGAGATGGGGGTGCACACAGCCTCGGGACTAGCGTTCACAGAGCCAGGGGGCCCGGGAGCACAGAGCCTGGGGGTACTAGGGGGTGAAGGCCTCAGAGCTGGGAACTGAGTGGGGTGCACGGAGCCAGGGATTTTGGAGACCCCTCAAAGCAGGGGACTGGGTGCGCAGAGCCAGGGGATTGGAGCACCTGTACCTGGAGGGGTTGGGGCGCACAGAGCCAGGCTGGGGCGAGGCAGGGAGGCTGAGTTCTCTCCTCCGGGAGAACAAAAGGCAGCAGGAATTTCCCATGTGGCGACACAGACTGCTTCCCGGGGGAAAAACTGGCTAATGATTTACCCGCACCAGTTGCCCAGAGGCATCAGCAACCCCACATCCCGCTCAGCGGAAAATGCTGCTGGGGGCTAGAGGGGGACCCCCAAAGAGCTGGGAGCTGCAGTGCTGGAAGGGTACAGCCAGGATGGTGCCCCGACTAGAAGAGAAAGACTTCAGGCACATGAGGCATCCGGACAGGCTCCCTCCTGCATCATCAACCACCCACAGGGACTGCAGTTTCCTCGGAAAACCCATCTCACTGCCTTTTGGAGTTGGTTTTTCTGGGGGTGCAGCCCAGCTGGGCTCTGGGGGGATGCTGCCATCACTCCCACAACCCACGGGGTCACTTTTGGCCGGGACAGGGCTGCAACGCTGATCGTCCTCCCACGCTCCCACACACAATATCTCCTTTTATACGGCCTGGGGCAGGCAGACACTCAGCACCGCTCCTCGACACCCACGGGGGTGTATCGGGAGAGAGACTGGGGAAGGGAGCATGGCAGGAGAAGAAGAGGAGGAAGAGCTGTGCTCTTTTCAAGGGTGATTTTTTCCAGCAGCACACACACACCGGATGCTTCCCCAAAGGAAGCAGCTGTTTAACCTGTTTTTCAGAGAGGGCCCCTCAGCAGGGCCAGCTCTCGCCGTGTCCCCGAGGCTCTGGTGGCTGCATGCTGCGCCCCACTGCCAGGTGCTGGCGTGGGAGGTCTGGGTCTTTCATCACCCCAGAGCAAAGGAAGCTCCTCACCCTTTTGATTACAGAGGAAAGCGGGAACAACCAAACCTGGAGAGCTTAAAATTAAAAGGCAAATAAAAATAACCTAAAACATGCTATATTTAAAACCATTTGATTTTTTTTTCCCCTTGCAGGCAAAGGAGGATTTTGCAGTGACAGAGCTGGTAATAAGGCTGCACGCCTTGACCCAGGCACCATCGGTGACAGCAGCAAGAACAAGAAAGGATGAAGTCAATATACTTCAAATGCCTGTGACTAAATTGGGAGCCCTGTGCTCGATTTGCAGATGTGCCCTGCAAGTCAAGAGGATTTCTCTTTCTGTGCCCAGCATGGCATGGGTAGTACTGGATGTGCAGAGCAGCTGCATGATCCCAGCCTGTGCTGGCTCTGTCTGAGGAGCTCCTGCAGACCAGACATGAGCCATGTCAACCCTATTGGCACATCATCCCCATCCTAATTTTGGGGGCTGATGGAAAAGATCGAGCCATAAGCCCCCTGATGCTGCAGCAGGGAGACAGAAGTGGGTTGGAGGGACCCTTCTGCGTGAGATGATTCCCTCTCCAAGGAGCAGTAGGTCCATGGGCATCTCCAGCATCAAAGCTCAGCAATGCAAAAAAAGCAGGTGGAACCCAAGGTCTTTCACAAAAACTCCCCCCCAAACAAAGAGACACAAACTCCCAGTACTGCCCAGGGCAGGGCTTCACACCATCATAGCTTCATCACTTTGTCCCTTCTCCTAACAGTTCATATGATAAAAGCAGCATCACAGCTTTGATATCTTAACTGCAAGTGCAACTCCACTCCTGTTAGTCTTTGAAGATACAAAGTGAGCATCTGAGCACTGGGAGCTGTCTTAGTGTTAAATAGAAACACACACAAAAAAGTAAAAACTAAGGAGCTTGGAAACAAAGGCAGATTTTTCAACATCAAAACTAGCTAAAAATGAAAATACCTGCTGCTTGCAAGTCTGCTCATAATTAACAATGAAAGGGCTTCCAGGAAAGAATTTAAATATGAGGAGTTCTCCATCCCAAATGATTATTTTTGGCTAATTTTCCTTCCTCATACCCTGCAGTACCCAAGGTATGTACATAGGAAATATGCATAATGATGACAAAAAAAAATACAGAAAGGCAAAAGAAAAGGGCTGCAATTTACAAGTTTAATTTCATGCTCAGCCAGAATTTGATCAAGGGGAGGAGAGATAGCCAGAGAGGCTGGATGGAGGTGCTGGGGAAAATCCGGAGCCTTCTGACAAGGCGTCTGGAACACGTGGGTCAACTCTGCACATCCCCAGGAGGTTTGCAAGGCTGCTTCTCCTTCCCATCAACAGCATGGAAATACTGCACAGCACCAGCAGTTACCAGCTGCTAACAGTGTAGAAATCAAATATGCAATGCCCAGGAGGATCTCCTGGTAATTCCTTCCAGCACTGGGCACCTGGCACACATCATCTTCATGATCAATTCAGTACAAGGCAGGGGGTGGAGGGTAAATCCCACCTTGGCTACATGCAGATTTCCATCCCCAAAAAGCTGTCAGGATCATCCGTTTTGGAGCACTTTGGACCTGAACATCAGCTGGATCCATGTGGTAGCAACTGTGTTATCTCTATGGGTGAGTGGCTGTAGCTACTCCACTGCAGGATCCTTGGACACAGGGAGAACAGCTGCAGGCTCAAACGAGTGCAAGGAACAACAGAGTGGCAAAAAGCAAAGGATCTGGAGGAGCAGGGAAGGGGGTTTTGAGGCAGCTTTGAACCAAGAGGCATATCAGTGAGCCAGTCCTGAGAGAAAACAATCACCACAACGC